CCCCACAGCTTGGTGCCCCCTGCCCTGGGGACCCCTGGCCTTGGGGGGGCACCCACCTCTAAAGCTCCATCCTGCACCCCCCCCCAGGATCGAGCTTCTTGGGCAGGATTGGGCACTGAGCAGGATCAAGGGTGGCAGGGACCCATGGGAGGGGCAGGGACCTCCAGGGACCCCTGGGAAAGGCAGGGACCCAATGTGGCTAGAAACCCTGAGAGGGTAGCAGGGACCCTGGGGTGTCAGTGGTGTTGGGGGCAGCAAGGATTCCCAGGGTGGCAGGGACACAGGAAGGCAGGGACCCCAGAGTGGGCAGGGACCCCCGAGGGGGCAGGGACCCTCTGGGTGAGGGGTGGGGGGCAGAGGCCCCAGGGCAGAAGGGACCCCGGGTGGCAGGGACCCTGGGGCAGCAGGGAACCCATGGGTGGCAGGAGGGACCCTGTGGGGTAGGGACACATGGGAAAAAGGACCCATGGGGAGCAGGGACCCCATGGGCCTGGGACCCCGGGGTGTGAGGGTAGCAGGGCAGTGCCTAGCCCAGCTGGCGGGCACCGGGCACCATGCACCCATCTCACCTTGAAGGACACCTTCACCCTGTAGTCCACCCCCTCCTTCAGCACAAAGGCCCGGCCCCGCAGCATCTCCAGGTCTCCTGCATGGGGAGATGGCCCATGAGCCTGGCACCCCTTCCTCCTCCTCCCCCCATCGGTGCCCCCACTGCTCACCTGTCAAGTCCATGGTGATGGGCCCTGGTGCCTGCTCGCACATCAGGGTGAGCTTTGTCACCTGCACGTTGGGCACGCTGGCATCTAGGGACAAGCGGCAGGGCACAGACCTTACCCACGCGCACCCAGCCCACCGACACTGGGGGGCTGCCCATGCCCCCTGTAATGGCACGAAGGGCCACGGTGCCCATGGCGGGGGTGTTAGGAGCCAGCAAGTGCCGGGCAGCCCAGGCAGGGCGCAGGAGACCAGGGGCATCGCGGGCCAGCCCCCACCTTGGCATCAACGCCTTTGGGGTAAGACCACGTTTAAAAGGGCCCAGCCACAGGTATCTCCCAGGGTGCGATGCTCCCTGGCTCGGGAGCGGGCCAAAGGGGTGGGGAGGAGGAGGCAGGCAAAGGCATCCCTCGAGGCAGGCGCTGGCCTAATTGCACCTCAACAGCCCAACCTGCACCCCATCAGCAGCTTGCACCCCCACCACCCCACTTGCACCCCGTCAGCCTGCACACACGCCATCATGCACACCTCATGCACCCCACTGGTTCGCACCCACCTCACCAGCTTGCACACACACACACACACACATATCTCCCCCCACCCAGCTGTCATGCACCCATCAGCCAGCACACCAGGGTGCTGGGCCCGTGAAGCCCCCCAGCCTGGCCCAGGCCCCACAGACACGGAGGGCAGCACCAGGCTGGGGTGGCTGCTATGGGTGTCACGGGGAGTGGGGGGCACCGTCTGGGCACCGGCAGCTGTGCCACCCCGGGGCCCCCGCGGCTGCTCACTCCATCTCTGTCATCCTAATGAATTTCCTGGTCCCTTGTAACCGTTCCTATGGAAACTGCGGCGGTGATCCCGTAACCAAGGCAACCGGGGTCCCCGGGCAGCTGTTACCATGTCGGCAGGGGGATGCCGGGGTCTCCGTGCAAGTGGGGGGCACAGGCAGCACCCACGGGCGATGCCAGCTGGGACGCACCCTCCCTGCTGGGGCTGCCCCACAGGTGCTGGGGATGCCTGAGCTCCCTGCGCCCGCTGAGGCTGCATCACCCAGACTGAGTGCCGGGGTGCCAGGGTGCCCAGCCCCAGCGGGCAGCCCCCGGCCTTACCCACAGCAGCAGGGATGGCACCCAGCAGCGCCTGCTTGTACTTCCGCAGGCTCTCATCCCCTGGGTCCAGCTCCTGGATCTCCCGCAGGCTCTTCTTCTCTGGCGTCTTGTACGCCAGGGCCACGTCGGCATCCTCCTCCTCCTCTAGCGACAGCGTCACCCCCTCCTTGTCAGCCATGATGTCTGCGGGGGACAGGCAGTGGCAGTCCCACCACCCCGGGGACACCCCAGGGGACACCCCCCCACCCCGTGACACGCAGGCACTGGTGGGCAGGGCCACGTCGGCATCCTCCTCCTCCTCTAGCGACAGCGTCACCCCCTCCTTGTCAGCCATGATGTCTGCGGGGGACAGGCAGTGGCAGTCCCACCGCCCTGGGGACACCCCAGGGGACACCCCCCCACCCTGTGACACGCAGGCACTGGTGGGCAGGGGGTGGCTGAGCTGGGACACGCCCCGGATAGATTTGGG